AGTAGCGATGCCAGGAGCCCCTAGTAGCGTCCTTGCTCCTAGTAGCGTCTAAAACACAGGATGCTGTGGGGTCTGGGTTCGGCCGAGGTGCATCCGCATTGCGAGATCCGGACTTCTGTGTCCTGGGCCGAGACAAGTCCTTGACCAGACTGGCGGGGACTAAGCCCTTGGAGCCTCAATTAGGTGACTGGCAGTAAGTGTCAACCAATTTTTTTGTGAACAGATTCTATGCCGATTTGATCATCTCAGTTGATTCCCCCCCACACTGCTAACGGTGATCTCATGTCAGTTCACCTTAGCTAGCTTGGTCACAATGCTTTTTTGAGGGGCAATCACCTGTGCGTTGCTGTCAAAGTCCACGTTTTGATGGACATGTGTCCACATCGGTCCACATGAGTCCACCGTCCAGCCCTCACAGGAGCAAGCACATCCAAGCACCATCCTCAATGCTTTTTAAGCCGCAAGGCTCAGTATTGTTTGTGGTCCAAAACGTCCCTGGGCTCCAGAGACGTCCGGAATGCCCCCCCTGTCTTCAACACGAGGGACCGACACACGGTCCATGAGGCCAGTGCAAAGGGCCATCAAGGGAGTGCAATGCACGAATTTGGCTCCTCATGGTCCCTAAACGGCAGGAACTAGCCATCTTCGTCTTCGCCAGTCTGCAACAAAGAACGGTTGGGCTCTCTCTCTCTCTCTCTCCCTCTCTCTCTCTCTCTCTCTCTGGCTGTCTCGCACGCTCGGCTGCGGAAAACGGATGAAAACAGCATGTCCTGCACATATGATGAGCTGCTTGCCAAACATTTCGAGCAGCTACGCAGCTATGCCGACTCCTTTATCTGCCATCTGCCACATCACTCGAGCTTGCTGGTACGGAAACAAGTATCTATCCCATACGACCAACAACAACATGCAGCAACAATCCCAAACTTAAGAACGCATAAGAACACAAATGCACAAGTTGAGGAGTCTATATCTATCCTGCCCAAATTTGGGACATCACAGAGGTTCCCTGTCACTATGTTCTGCTCTGATTCCAAAATAGGTAGTTACATGTCGTTGCAGAACCTCATCTCCCTCTAGTTGGTAGGTCCTGGATTCGTGCAAAAACGCAAAGTGATACTCATCAGTATCCGCTGAAACCCATTGGCCTTGCGTTTGTGTTTTCTTTTTTCTGGCCAAGACACATATTTTTTGATATACTGGTTTTATACATGTTTATGCAATCATCTCGATACATCTAACACTGGGTGCTGCAACCCTCCAGATTCCACCAAGAGCCTGATAGGCTCAGAACACTTACTGTATATACTCGCTTTGCGGGTATGTTCGGATTCTGTGGCCCGAGGATGAACCACGGCATCCCTTGGCAAACATCAATGGTCCATCCTGGATGACAATTCAACAGCTCCGTTGGGACCTTAAGGGGCAAACATCGGGTCCATTCTGTGAATTATGGTGACGTGTTCCTCGGGTTGCAGCCTGCGCAAGCAGGATATTGAAAACGTTGCAGGGCAACTGCTATTGATATTGATCGGATTGCTCAGCATCTGTCTCTGGGTTCAAGAACACCTCAGAATGTCGCCCGGATCCAGGGCTTCAAGCGTAGTCATGTATATACTAAGTCCCAAACTCATGCCTATAGCCTATAGCTTCTCCCTGTAAACATGATACGGTTTGCGATGCCTACAAGGTGCAAGGACAAACAGTACTGGACTCTGTATGCGCCCCTTGTGAGAATTCCGTGCTACAATTACAGGCCATGAGTGGGAAGCAAAGTAAACGCGCTGGTGCCCACATGACGTTGTCATGATATAAAGCAAAAAGCACAAACTGCTAGTTCTGTTGTCGGAACAGCCTCTTCTGTCCACTAGTGTCTGCTCACTCAATCCACGAAATCACTCTGGTTTACCAAGTCTTGTCAGGTCATCTTGTTTCAGGGAGTTGTTTGTTTGGCTTCGGTCATGAACAACATGTATAGACTTGTAGACTGCTTGATACTGCTTGAAAGGGATGAATGAATGACACCAACCGAACACAATGGAGGAAAACGTTTGCACATCCAAAGTCCTCACATTTCCTGACTGCCAAGGCTGCCAAGGTACCCGGTTCTCAGCGGAAGATATCTTGGTCCCCTGGAAAACAAGTGACTGATGCAACGGGTTGATTCAGTGCACTTCAGTTCCGGTCGCTTCCTGCAACTCAAAACGAATTGAGCACGGAATATATAGAATGTATTTCTATATTCTTCTGCCGGGTAGAATTTGCTGCCCACGGACAATCACTTGAATCGTCAACATCTAAAATCTCAATACATTAATGAAGCCCCACCGAATCCTACATGTCACCAAACATACTGCAACAACTATTGTTGTTCTTGTGCTAGAGGAAGTTCAAAAAAACAGTCAAGTTCAATCCACACCATTCAACACCCTCACACCACCTCATGTGTTTCACCTTTCTCATGCTTCCAACATCTTCCAACTTCCAACGAACACACTGCAGTGGCCGACTCGTTCCCAGCGCCTCCACATCGCAGCGGTTCCAAGCACGGAAACCGAACATCGCCATGATCAACAGCCCGGTGAAGATCCTGAGGCATCACATTGTGATAAGATGCAAACACAAATCAACAGGCTTGGGGCTCGGGAGGTCCCTGCGGACCTTGAGGATCTTCAAGTGCTCCGGAGGTCAAGGTTTGCCTTGATTCTTTGAATCTTTGAACGTGGACTAGGGCATACTAACTAGGGGTATCCCTTTTTGAGGGGACTGGTGACTATACAATGATTGATTAGTTGATGTTTGATGGTTGATGATGTTTGGATGTGTACACTCATACGTTTTGATGCTCTGCTGCAGGCCAAGAAGTACCTGCAATGAATTTGACTGTTCCCTACTGGGACATATAGCATCATATAGCGTTTGTCGATGATGTGAGAGGCCTTCGCAAGTCATGTAAAAGTTTTAAAGCCAAGATTCTGTGAATCCTTTGCTGTCCGCGGTGCACTCTCCAATCTTGCTTCTCCCGTTTGAAAGGTTTCGGCGTGCCAAAAAAACAAGGCTACATTGCTGTTGGCGGCGCTGAGTAATTTGCACACACAAACATATATATTAAGATATTAAAAAAAATTATTATAGATTATATTATATACATGTTGGATTGCACCTTTTCCTGTAGGTCACTCGAAGAATTCGGG